GAGGATGTGAACGTGCCTATTCCTTATCTGAAGCTTGACAAGAACTGGGGTTGAAGCCCATACCCATTTTATGCTCCTACAAAGATGAGGATGAGGGTGAACAGCTAGATTTTGTGTGGCTTTTTTCTGGCTGACAAGCTTAGGGTTTTTTATGAGAGATTATAATGGGATACCAGTGTCTATTTGTGCTTTCTAGCCTAGACCCTTTGATATTTTAGTTGTCCCAAGTCAACCTATGCTAAGGCCAACACAGGTCAAGTTTATAACCCCTGTGCAAAGATTTAAAAATTTATGTATATGAAAATGAAAGTAGCATCATAAGAGGTCACTGGGCATGATACCAACTCTTGACTTCAATAAAGACAGACAATAAAAACAGCTAATTAAAGGAACTCTGATGACATTCATCTGAAATTTTAGCTTGTTTTATGTTTTAACAAATTAACAATGGTGATAAGAGGACATTAGCAGCTTTTCTAGAGTCTCTTTGTTAACAACAACTAGAGCCTGCAGCTACAACAGGGGCTGTAGCCAAGTTTTAGCTGGCAGACCAGCAAGCCAATATTTTATACAATGGATGATACTTCTGAAAGCAAAGACAGAGACAAACCCAGAGTCACACATGCATTACAACAAATGAATTTCTGTCATTTTTAATCATATTTAGAGCAACAAAAGATTCCACGATTACAAAAAGAGAACAGAACACTAGCAGTTGGGGCTGGTCCTGCTGCCCAGTGGAGGCCAAGTGCCGCTGTGAGAACTGAAACCCCATTAAAACAAGTTTCAATCAAAATTAATGTTTCTTTTGAAAAATCTTTATATGATGCTTTCTCTTTTTCTTTATTTTCCCTCAATATTTAAATTAATTCTTACATCTGGTTACATAGTCTGCTCCCTCCTGCTGCCAAATTAAGCTCAAGGACAGCACAAGAATGTCATGTTGAGGCACTCCCTAACCAATGTTCCAGTCTAGGAGAAAGCAGAAGGGTGTCACTAAGTTCTGAAGGGACTCTCTTTTAGCTTGAGCCATCCCAAAGGTGACTATTCTCATCACCTGAATGGCTTATGGGATAGGCCAACCCCACAGGCACTTCATTGCCATAGAGTGAGCACCAAGGACCAAGGTTGGAAAAGACTGCAGGCTTGCCTTTTCTGCTGTGCAGGAAACATAGTCCAAAAATATGAAGCATCAGTCAGAGAGGGCACCACCAGAGAAGCAGCAACATATCATAATTTTCTTTTCTTTGGGGTATGTGTGTGTGTTCCAGTCTTTGGTGGCCAATGGAATCTGCAGCTATATGACAGTCTTGTTAAGTAGTGCATGTGGGAACTATTTTAAGCCACAAGGGCCACTTAATCCATAGCTTTTAATTTAATTCCATAAGAGGCTGAGAGACAAGTGGGATACAGAATAGAACCAGCACCTCTGCTATACTGAATTGGGGTTGGAAACCAATCAATACATATTATGGACTTTCTGGCCAAACCAAATGGGGATAAATTGAAACTGAGTCAAAGGGTGTTCTACCTTTAAGAGTCTACCTGCTAAATTCAAATACTTACCATTTACTTTGGTGGGTGGTAATATTGCAAGTGTTTTGTTGCCTCAGCAGAAGTGTCTGAAGAGGGGTGAATAACGTGAATTTTTCTGCCTTCACCTAGAAATGGTTAAGAGTTGGGAGGCTTTGAGCAATAGACCCCAGTGTCAATCTCTTAATTGAAGAAAAATATCCTTACCTATGGGCAGAGACAGACCAGTACCTACAGAGATATAACTTATAGTACATTGACAATTTTTTAACAGATAAAAACACATTTCCATTGTCAAAATCTTTACAGAACATATCCAAAACCATAATTAAAGTACACAGACACCCAGTAGCAAGAGCACCTCAATTGCAGGTGAGTAAATTATGTGAAAGACAGAGCACTTGCTCCAGGTTCCCAAGTGCAGTAAATTGCCCTTTTCTCACAAGGATGGTGAAAAACAAAGAATGTCTTTCCTTCTTCCAAATGCTTAGGTCCCATGAGGGGGCCATTGACTAATCATTTTGATGGACCTTTGGCCCCAAGTCTGGGCCTTCCCCAGTCAGTTCCAATGAGTTTTCACCACCCTTTAAACATTCATCAGTCTTGGGCTAGTAAAGTGCAATATATCATGTACCATACCGCTTCCCCACCTCTGCTCCTTTGCAAGGCCTGGGAATCAGGCCCCAACAGGGGCAGTGATCTCTTAGTTATCTGATCAACCCAGGTGACTTTTATGTTTTTATAGAGCTTCCAAAATGGAACTGCAGCCTCTCTCACAAGTACATGGTATGAATTGTGACCTGGAACCAAATATAAAGGAGCAGAGAAAGGTAAAGCTATCAAAACACATTATATCTATGTTTATAATTCAATTTTGAAACATGGATACAAATACTCATGTACAATATATTTCAACCTTTTGCCTTAAACTGAAGAGAACTTTTTTGTGTCTTCCAAAGTGGGCAGAAATGAGGATTCCTGCCTGCTGTCCCTCTAGTGCAAAATCTAGTCCTTTAAATGCTCTCTTTATCAGCAAGGATTCACATCTTCAGATAAACTACGATGGGCACTAGCAAACACAGTGGCCAATACAGTTCCATTTCCAACCATGCAATTATGGACCTTTAAAAAATTTCTGAACAACTAGTGGAGAAAAGGAAAGCTAGTTCTCCTTATAAAATCTCTTAGTTAAGAACCCATAATCCCAATTATTTTTTTTTCAAAATTATCTTCTACTTTTCTAAACATGTATATTGTGTGTGGGGGAAACCCACAGAACTCTTATAAGTCAGTCTTTGGATAGCTTACCAAAGAGGCACCAATGTTTACTCCCTCCCTGCCCTTAAAAATTTTGGTATCTTAGCAGATACAGTGTAATCTTTGGTTACATAATGTGATGCTCTCAACTCTTTGTCTTTTTTAAAACATCTTTCAAAGATTTTCAAAGAGATTAGCGATGAGAACAGAACTGCCTATAAAAGGCAGCAATGAGAACATAACTATCTATAAAAGAAATTGCACATGCAAAATGGCTTATTTTGACTTTAACTTTGGGATTTGATCCTGTGCTTTAGCATTCCTGATTCTCATGACTCCCTATAGGGGGTTGAGCATGAAGGCCATTTCCTTGGCTCAGTGACCTTTCATTTGGGCAACTGGCACAGGATAATTAGTAGTCAGCCACTTGTTTTCTCATGGCCATGCAGGAAACATGCAGGCATAGTTACTGAGTTGTCTGGAAAGAATCTTATAAGGCGAAACCCTGGAACAAGGTTGGGAAGGGGTTAAAGGGAGTGGCTTGGGCTTTTGTACTCTGCTAAATATCAAGGGAGAAAAGAGGTCAAGGCCATGTCTGTGCTGTGCTAATGAAACAAACAGGAGCTACTTGAAGCTCAAAGTTAGGTCATTTGTGTAATTGGTAGTATCATGTGGATGGTAGAACTACTTTCTCTTAAAGTACAAACAGAATTATTTTTGCTATATATGCATATGTACATTTAGAAATAAAGGATGGACAGAGAGGGACTTTAGTATCACCACATTATTTCTCAAACCTGAACTACTTAAAGGACAGAGGGATGGAAGGAAACTTTTTTTCTTTTTTAGTGCCAGTGAACATATATAAAATATATATGTATTACTGATTTTCTTTTTCAAAGATATGACAGAATCCTTTAAAATATCTTTCTCATTAAAAAAATAATGAGCTTTCCAAGAATGATGACACTGTTTGTGGCATAGAAAATCAATGGAACGTAGAATCCAACCCTCATTTCAGCTCAGACACTAAGCTTGGGCAAACTGCCCAATGAACAAAAGTTGAAATTGCCACACAATTCTTTTATTTGACCACAGAGTTTGTGACCCTGGCAGCGGTCTGCTGCCCACACAGACAAGACCTTCTCCTACGGTGCTCCCTTTTCCTTTCTCTTCCTCACTTTCCATCCCCATTGAACACTGAAAACCTCTTTAGAAATAGCTTCTTTGGAGATAGTGACTTGTCTGATGAGTGATCTTCATCTTCCAGCTCACCAGGTGAGTGGATCTTATTGGCCAATCCTTCACGGGTGAGCACAGTGTACCAACCACATCAACACTGTTTGTAGAGTGCATGCAAAATGAGACTTCTGCCAATTACATTGGCTGAAACATCAATGACCAAAAGAAAGCATAAATCCCCCTTTCATCTTTGAGAGAACAAAGCCAAGCTAAAATACTTTTTCTCATAGACTCCCCAGTGCAAAAGCAGTAGGCCTAAAGCCTTGTGTAGGCTGTTTTCCCTATTCTTGCCATCCTGAAATTTAGAGTAATCCAGTTGTTGCTGATTTTAATTACACTGATTTTTGGCTTTCACAAGTGAAAACATACATATTCATAAGGACAATAGTCACAATTGAGAAATCTCTAATGATGAAAAATTTGATAATCAGGAAATGGAAAGGAGAGACTCTAGTCTTTACAAGAAGAGGTATTAGAATGATAATATCAAATCCATGTACCACAAAAAGTGAAGATCATTTCAAAACAGATGTAAAGAAATTATTAAAATGTAATCTAGTTTAACTGAAAAGAGTGGTGTATTTTTTTTTCTGTTTAAAATAGCAAAAAGTGCCGAAACCGGTTTGGCTCAGTGGATAGAGCATCGGCCTGCGGACTGAAAGGTCCCAGGTTCGATTCCGGTCAAGGGCATGTACCTGGGTTGCGGGCACATCCCCAGTAGGAGATGTGCAGGAGGCAGCTGATCGATGTTTCTAACTCTCTATC